ACAGCTGGTAAGTAGGAGTTGAACCAGGCCAAAGCTAATGTATTTGTACTAAACTAATTAGGGTTAAACTGTTCTTGGTAGTTTAGCAAACAGCAAAACTTCTACTTCAAAAAATGTCCTCTCCTAGAAAGGAATGAATTTGAAAGATTGTATACTTTTTCCTAAGCCTATGCAATACTACTCTCTTGGGCTTATCTGAAAAATATGTGATATATTTTTTGAACATCCTTAACAAGGGCAAATCTTTGTTCTTTAAGAGAAGATTTGATCTCCCTTAATAACTAAATCTTACTCAGTGCCAAGTCCAGTAAATAAAGTGGAGAATTTGAGCGGGAAATCCCATCTTTGGTTGAAATGCGTGTGACCTAGAAAGCAACTCCAATATATAAAGAACTCATACACTTCAGCAACATAAAAAACAAATAACCCCATCAAAAAAATGAACAGAAGATCTGAATAGACACTTCTCCAAAGAAAACATACATATAGCAAACAGGCACATGAAAAAATGTTCATCATCACTTATCAGCAGAGAAATGCAAATCAAAACTAGAATGAAATATCACCTCACCACTGTGAGAATGGCCTCTATCAAAAAGACCAAAATAAGTGTTGTAAGGGTGTGGAGAAAAAGGAATCCTGTGCATTGTTGGTACAGTCTTTATGAAAAACAATAGTGAGGTTCCTCAAAAAAATTTTAAAAATCTACCATATTATCCAGATAAATAGATCCCACTCTGTCTATCCAAAGATTACAAAAACTCTAATTTGAGGGGCCTCGCTGGTGGTGCAAGGGGTTAAGACATAACACTGTGAAGCTAACCACAGCCACTGCAGCCCGAGTTTGATCCCCGGCCAGGGAGGTGACCCACGTGGTGCAGCAGACCTCTCCTGACTCGCCTGCTGCTCCCCTCAGCAGTGTATTTCAGTCAGTCCACCTGTTCTGTTTGCCTCTGTCTCTGGTGAGCCCTCTCACCCCCACACCTCTGGTCTATACCCCAGTTCTTGTATGCATAAATAAAAATAAACCTTTAAAAAAAAAAAACCCTCTAATTTGAAAGGATATATGTGCCCCTATGTTCATGGCAGCACTATTCACAGTAGCCAAAATAATGACACAACCTAAGTGCCCATGAATGGATGAATGGATAAAGAAGATACGGTGTTGAATATACACAATGGAATACTACTCAACTATTAAAAAAGGTGAAATCATTGCACGTGTGAAACCTGGATGGAACTTAAAGGGATTATGCTAAGTAAATAAGTCAGAAGAGAAAGAGACAAATGCTGGATAACCTCAGTCATATGTGGACTATGAAGAAACAAAGCAAGGAAACAGAAAAAATAAACACTTGCACTCTAACTGAAGAACTGACATTACCAGATGCGGAGAAGAGCGGGGAGCAATGGTTTGTGGTGGAGAGTACTGGTACTTTGGTAGTAAACATGGTATAATAACATACATTTGAAGAACCTGTGCTCTTAAAACAGATACAGTGATGTATTTCAATAAAAAAGATAGGGAATATGCCTCCCTGGTGGCGCAGGGATTAAGGACAGCACTATCAAGCTGCTTCTAGCCACTACAGCATGAGTTCGATCCCTGACGGGTCAGGGAGCAACCCACATGGCACAGCAGACCTCTTCTGTCTCACCCGCTGCTCCTCTCAGCAGTGTATTTCAGTCAATCCGCCTGTTCTGCTCCCAATTCTGTCTCTGGCCTGTACCCCAGTTCTTGTATGCATAAATAAATCTTAAAAAAAAAAAAGATAGGTGGGCCTCCCGGGTGGCGCAGCGGTTGAGCGCTGGGTTGTGAAGCTTCCTGAAGCCTGCGCAGTGCCGGTTCGATCCCCGGCTGCTCCCCGGCCACCGGAGGAGGGTCCCGCATGGCACGCAGACCTCTCCTGCCGCCCGCTGCTCCCCTCAGCAGTGTACTTCGGTCCTTCTGCCTGCTCTGCTCCCCGCTCTGGCTCTGGTGAATTCTCTCACCCTCCCGCGCTTCTGACTGTGCCCAGTGCTTGTATAAATAAATAAATAAATCTTTAAAAAAAAAAAAAGATAGGAAATAAAATACTGGTAACAGAAGGAAAAAAAAAACAATTCAGCAGTTTTTGTAGTAGTAGCAAATACTTCATTGTCACAAAAAAGCATTTTCTATTGTTGCTGCCTTCACTTTCCTATCACACCTGGTCATGTATGGAATGAAATAAGGAAATATGTGTTTATATTAATAAATTAGGCTAGCTACAAAGGGCTGGATTATTGTAATTAATTTCCCTACTATCATTGATATGAAAGTATGCTCATCATACCTGTGAATCAAAGTTGGAAGGGGTGATTATAAAGAGGGGAGGGATTGAAAATTAAGTTAATAGAATTAAATATAAGATCAAGTAGTTAATAGAATTAAATATAAGATCATGTAGTGCAAGCTAGGAAAAAAAATAACACATGTGCGTTATTTTTATTTTATTTTTTTTTTAAATAAGTTTTTTTTTTTTAAAGAGGCATGTTTTTTATTTATTTATTTGTTTGTTTGTTTGTTTGTTTGTTTTTTATACATGCACTGGGTACAGTCAGAAGCGCGGGAGGGTGAGAGAATTCACCAGAGCCAGAGTGGGGAGCAGAGCAGGCAGAAGGACCGAAGTACACTGCTGAGGGGAGCAGCGGGCGGCAGGAGAGGTCTGCGCGCCATGTGGGACCCTCCTCCAGTGGCCGGGGAGCAGCCGGGGATCGAACCGGTGCTGTGGAGGCTGCGGGCAGCTTCGCAACCCAGCGCTCAACCGCTGCGCCACTGGGGAGGCCCTGTGCGTTATTTTTAAACCTAACAAGCAAATGAGAAGAATACTTGGAAGCCTTAGTAGATAGAAACAATCTAAATTAATGATTGTCAGGAAAAAATGGTAATGTATTAAGCTGAATTAAAGGAAGCATGGATTCTAAACAAAGGAGGTGACATTTACTCTGCTTAGATTTCTAAGTACTACAATTTAAGAGGGATATGATCAAGCTGAATTATATTTAGAAGAGAGTAATATTCGTGGTAAAAGAATATGAGAATGGTTAGATGTGTTGTTTGAAGGTGAAAATATTGGGGGTACGATTTCTTTATTCCCCACGTACAATCACTTGGGGAAAGGACTCCGTTCATTCCATATAGTAGCATGGAATTGGATAGGAAAGGTGAGTGGAAGCTTCACGGAGGTAGATTTCTAGTTCAGAATGCAAAAGAAATGTATAAAAATGACATGAAGTTTCAGGAAAATTTCTTCATATCTTGAAGTGCTCCCACAGAAACAGAAACTGAACAACACTCTTTCCACCCAAAAGAGGGCTCAAACCTATCAGATCCTGTTTTTAATCATTAGCATTATCCAAAAGCTGCCTTAAGCCACCCATATATGTTGTGAAGCAAGAGTGACCAACTGTCCTGATTGTCCCAGGACAGAGTTCCTTGGGGTGTGGGAATTGGAGTGCTTACACTAGAAAAAGTTCCACGCAGACCTCCATGAATTGATCACGCCAGAGGTGAAGGAGTAGACTCCGCTAAGGCATGGTTGTGACAAACATGGTATGCAATAAAACCTTCATGGAACCAACACGTGGATGAATAAGGGCATTTCCCTTTCTCATTTATATACATGAAATTTCTATATACATGAAAATTTCTTACACCAACAAATTCATGCACATTAGATTTAAAATGTCCGAAAGTATATTATATTGTGCCTTGTGCTCCTATTCATACAATATTGAATATATATTTGTCTTTTTTTTTAATAAGAAAAAATTAGAATTGGGATATAGGGCAATAAAAAATAGGTGAGACAAGTTTTGAAGTCTCACAGGTGGGTTTGAACCTTCTTTTGTTAATTACAAAATGTCAAGTTACTTAATCTGTGTCTTGGTTTTCTCAACTATAAATTAGGGATATCTCTGTACCTCCTGCACAGAATTGTGTCCCATCCACCCTATTAAAGCTCTCAGTAAATAGGAGGTTTTGTATCATTGTTAATAACCACCAGAGTTATTATCTGAGCTAAAAAGCTCCTGCTAGTTGCATTGTCTTCTAAATCATCTGAACAGGCACTGCTGTCTAGTTGGTAGTTTTATTTTTTTCACCTTGTACATAATTACTGACAGAGGAAGGTGGTACAACAGATAGAGCCGCTGTCTGTTATGAGTTCTCTGGTCTATATACTTGATCGCTTTACCTTACCCACAGTTGAATAATTATGAGAACACTTAAACCTCCCAAAGAGCAAAGTACATGTGGTTTTTGATGTCTATTTACCCTTTTATGTCTAGTCCCTGGACTGTGTTCCAAATACTTGGGAATTCTGGCAACATTTCCTACCCTTACGTGTGGCATCACAAAAATCAATCTGCCAATTTTACGAGCAGTTTGAAGTTAAAATGATTATGTTCCAACATAATTCTGCAAAGGCTCTTCTCTTTGTTCTGCCACTCATTTTGTCAAAAAATAATTCTTTATTCTTTTATGGTTCCTCAGATCCTGAAGAACTACTCAGACTCAATTGCTTCTGAACCTCATTCGTTTTCAATCTAACAGTAATAGTTTTTCCCTTACAGCATTGTCCTTGATCCCATGCTGAAAAAGCAGTAAATAAACATGCACTTGAGATCCATCAGGAGAAAATTCATATAAGCAAAGGAACATGGCAGCTTCCATGGCTGTTCCCTTCACATGGATGCACCCTTGTCTGTCCTCTCGCCTGGAGACCCAACCCTTCCAGGCCGGGTCTGTGGACTGCCACTTTGCCACCTGTGCTCCTCAAGTCAGGACTGGACAGATCACCCATTGAAGTTGTTCTCTTCAACCAGTATTTTCTTCTGGAAGAGAGAAAATACTTCAGAAGAGCAAATAAAGTCAAGCACGCTGCCATTAGTCACAGGTCTGCTTGAAAACCGTAGAATTTTTAAAAATCTCTTCAGTCCGAAGTTAACCTATTTGAAACTGACCCTTGGGAGTTAGCCTCCTGTCTAAAGGTTTAGCTGTAAGTAAACAATCTAAAAAAAATTAAAGACCTTGTTTTTGATCAGACTGTTCAAAGAAAGACTTTTGTGGGTAAAAGTTCACTAGGCTAAACAATGGAGACATCTGAGAGTAGAATGTGGCCCTCCCTCATAAAACAGGGGGTCTTAGTCCACCTTGACTAGGCACCTTCGTGGGAGGACATGGGCAAAGACAGCTTGGTTCACTGCTCAGAATTTTGCAATATTTGATCTTTGATATTAGGAGAGTTGATTAGAAGAGACTATGTCCCGCAGTTAGGTATTTATCTAGGTCTAGGGAAAACTGGGAACAAATGTCAACGGGGTTGGTCTTCACTTAGCAAATAAACTCCTGAATCATTTTTAATGATTAAAAAGCAAAAGGAAACAAGTAGCAGCTTTCTCACTCCCTTGGCGTGGTATCAGCCACACTGTGGTTTCTCAAGCTGCCTTTAAAAAAAAAAATACAGAATCGAAAAGATTACCAGCCAATCAGACCCACCCCCGATTTAAATTTTATCTTTAACCTTTAGGAGATAGAAAAATAAACTTAATCCTTCCTTAATGAACCCCCACATTAGGAGAGGCCTATATTAATCACTTTTTCAAGAGTGTGAAGGTAACTACACGTCTGTGAATTTGCCTGTGAATTCTAGTTGTGGCAATCATATGTCCTAAATGATCAGATTTTACTTATATACTTTATTTTAGAAGTTCTTTATTCCACAGATCATGGAATTAAGAAAATTTTCTTTTTGTAAAATTAGGATTATTTTAGCGATTGCCTCATAAATTCTGTTAACAAGCATGATGTTTAAAGCTGTTTTAGGCTGAGGGAAGTTTGTCGAAGAACAGCGTTCTTTCATTTCCTTATGACATTTTACCATGGTAATAGTCATACCCATATGACTAATGCACACCAAAAGAACAGTGCTTATCACAGTCACTGCTAGAATTATCCTGCCCCTCTCCTTAATCTAGTGTAAGTGGCCCTTGCTGTGGGGTATTGACCACACAGACCTGCTAGTTCGAGTGATGTCCATAGTCCACTCTCATATCTCTCATGTCACTATGGTTTCATCCCAGTGAACCCCCAAAAAAGTACAGAAGGGAGATCAGCAAAATAAATGCCCTTTTTCCCACTCCCCCCCACCACCACGTAAGAGAAAGTTGGTTTGGAGAACAATGAAATTAGTGATACAAGTGGACCGTGTGATGTCTTTTTCCTACTCCTTAGTTTCAGTGTACAATGGGAGTCCTGCTGTATGACCTGGCTGATAATCCCAGATATGCCAGCAAGACGTCACATCTTTCCCAGCAGTTTGCCTTGGAGGTAACTCAGTCTCTAATCTCTCTCCCCTTTCCTGGGGTCTGCTGTTCCTAACCTCCGCGGTGCTGTGTGGATGCCCACCCACCTGCGGGCCGATCTAGACTTTACCCATGGAGTTACTCTCATTCCAGGAGCTGTCTCTTGCTGTTCCCAGTAGTTTACTCTCTGATTGTTCAGTCAGAAAAAGCCCTAAATGCTTCAGATAGCTCCACAGCGCAGTCCAGGTGGCCTTTGGCACTCTGGTGCCACAGAAGAATCATGTGGTCACATGGTGACCGGCCAAGTGTGACCCTTCATCACTGTGAGCAGCAGATATGCTTCTTTATTCTTAAAATTGTACATGCAGTCAGTCACTGTTGGAACACAAGTGTGTGCCTGTGTGTGCACGGGCGCGCGCGCACACACACACACACACACACACACACACACACACCCCTTTCAAGGACAAATGTTAAATTAGAGATACAATATAAAACCCTCCTGCTGCCTATAAAGTGAATTCATCCCATGGACATGTCTGAGCGGTGTAGTGTTTTGTCGTGGCTGCTGTCTTTAAACAGTGTTTACTGTCTTTAAAAGGAACGTGTCATTCTCATTTTCCCCAGTCCCTCTTCCTTCCTGTCGTTTCCACCGAGTTTCATCAGCCATTTATATACTAGCCTGACCTCTGCAAATGTATTTCAGAGTTTGAGATCCCTATACCTAAACCCAGAATGATGATGATACACATTATCGAATTACCTTGACTATGTGAACATATTTCTTCCCTTCCCCCCACCCCCTTCTGCTTTGAGACTTTGCCCCTTGGATCTTAATGTCATAATAGGCCACTCCTTAGCTACTCCCTGACCATGTGAAGTTTCTAAATGTTCCTTTAAGGATCTGGGTAAGTTCTTAGCAAGACATATTCTCTACCCCTGCCTTTGAACTCCTGGAGATGAAGAAGATGGCTGAGTCTTCATGTCACTTTAGTGGAAGTCATCTTCCTAGTTCTTCCTCAGTAGTCTCACTGATATTGTTTGGGATACTAATAATTGAGGAATAATTCCTTTCGCATATAGTTTTGGGTTTTTTAAAAAAGATTTATTTATTTATGCATACAAGAACTGGGATACAGGCCAGAGGTGTGTGGGGCGAAGATTCACCAGAGATAGAGTGGGGAACAGAACAGGCAGACTGGCTGAAATACACTGCTGAGGGGAGCAGTGGGTGAGACAGGAGAAGTCTGCTGTGCCATGTGGGTAGCTCCCTGGCAGGCCAGGGATCGAACTTGTGCTGCAGAGGCTGTGGATAGCTTCATAGTGCTGTGCTTAACCCCTTGTGCCACCAGGGAGGACCTCAAATATAGTTTAATGATTTTTCATTTCCTTCGGTTTTGCCACCAAACATTTTCATTTGTTCAACAAATATTTATTGAGCTCCTACTATGAGTCAGGCATACTCATGCTGGAAATAGAGCAATGGACAAAAAAAAGTTCCCAGCCATCATGAAGTTTACATTCTACCAAGGGAAACAATTTTAGTCTCCACAGAAGAGAGCCTATTGTTAATGTCTGAAATGCAGAACATTTAATACATTTTGGCTTTAATTCAGAATTATCTGGTTTGCATATGCATCTTTCAGGAGATTTTTATCTCAATTCTAAGTAATTACATAGTATTAAATATTCATTTAGTAATAAAATGTTCAAATCTAACCAGTTTTTGACTAGTTAGTTCAAGAGATAGGGAAGATTATAAATGACACCAAGGTCATTAACTATTGGGCTTATTCTAGGCACTAATTAGTTCATATCCTTGAGTCTCACAGCTGCAGAGCACTTTGCCAACCTGACCATTCCTTCAAAAACATACAGTTGGAAATGAGAGAAATTGTGAAATGATAGCTTACTTGTCTATTAGCACTGATGGAAAAAGAACTCAGCATCCACAGCCTGACGGTGGTTTTCTCAGAAGCATGCAGGACACAGGGTCCTCTTCAAACTGAAAGCTCTCCAGGCTCCCTGGGTCTCCACCAGCAGGAGGACCAGGAGAGGGTTCTTTTCCTTGGATGAGATCTTTGGGATGGGGTTGCAGTCCCTTTATTCCTGAGCAGCTTCTGTGGTATAATCCTCTGTCTTCAAGAGAGTCTCTGAATTAAACTATTGATGCAGATCATTTATTTATATATTTATTTTAAAGATTTATTTATTTATGCAGACAAGAATTGGGGTACAGGCCAGAGGTATGGGGGGTGAGAGGATTCACCAGAGACAGAGTGGGGAACAAAACAGGCAGATTGACTGAAATACACTGCTGAGGGGAGCAGCAAGCGAGACAGGAGAGGTATGTTGTGCCATGTACGTAGCTCCCTGGCTGGGGATGGAACTCGTGCTGCAGTGGCTGCGGATAACTTCATAGTGCTGTGTCTTAACCCCTTGCACCACCAAGGAGGCCCTGATGCAGATCATTTAAAGGCATTACACATATGAGGGGATGTTTTGGAAATGTAAGCTGATCATTGTATTCTTCAAACACCTCTGGAGGACCTGGCTGCCAAGGTCCACATATGTGAAGGTCTAGGAAAGAGTTCATTCTAAGGGAAGAGAGGGTCACAAGACAGGATCGGAATGCTGGGCACAGACTAGAATCATGTTTGAATCCTAGGGGAAGGGAGCTAAAATAAACGACATGTAATAATGTCATACCTAAAAAAAGTAGTTTCCACAAGGTCTCTGTGAGCCATCAAGACTTTAAAGCAGCCCTTCTAGATCTGCTGAGTCACGGTCAGAGCATATTTGGGGTGAAGAGTGCTTTTAGCAGTTGGAATGTCTATTACAAGCATAACAGGCTGGAATGGGCAACATCGGAGCCTCAGAAGAGGCAGAGACAACATCACTGCAGCAAACACTGGCGTTGCCGCAGACAGCAGTCGCCTCAGGTGCTTTTGGCCCTAACTTACATGACTGAAGGTACAGGTTAGTTTCAAGATGGCAGGAAATTGCAATGAAATGAATCAGAGAGGAAAGAGAATGCACAAAAGATCTGTAAGTATAGTTAAGATTCCAAAGATTTCTCACTAGCAGAGAAGGAAGTTATAAATATGAAAAGGAGGAAGACCAAAATGAACTCAGCAGTGCTAGACTGAAATTGGAAATATCAATATGAGCAGCTTGTGTTATAAGTTTGTGTGTGTGTGTGCGTGTGTGTGTCTGTGTGTGTGTGTGAGAGAGAGAAAGAGAGTCTGTTTTCTAAGAGGACCTATAAACAATGAAACACCTGGACAAATGAATATACTCAGAACCCAAACCTTTCTAAATATTATTCTCTACTAAAGAAATCAGGGCTTTGTAGAGAAGTGGCGGATTTCAGGGCTAGTGCTATGAAAATACAAGAAAAACCTAGAATATCTTGTTTCAACAAGTTAGGAAGCTCAAGAAATTTTGGAGATGTGTCAAAAGGATAATTTGAAGGGATCCCACTATCCACATCAGGGACAATGAGAATCATAATAAATAGGGTTAGTAAGATTATAATCCTTTGAATAAAATAGCAATCTGTGGATCTTAAGGTATACATAAATAACTAAACAAATCTTTCCCTTAATTGCTTATAGGCTTATAAAATCACCATTTGGCAGTCAAGAATCATCAGTGGATGCTAAAATTAGTGGGTAAAGTTTAATGAGGAGCAGGATATTTAGGAAGTCTCAAAGTATCTCCCCACAAGATGTTGGTTAACTATAAAGGGGGGAAATGCTAATTTTAAAATGCAGAGGCCTGACTTGCAACATACATTGACACGGGGCACCTGATGAAGGGGCTTTAATGCTACCTTAACTGAGTCATTGGAGGTAACTGCAGCCATAATGGAACAAGTAAACTCCTAGTATATACTAAAAAGATCACATCACTTGTGTGGCATTCCTACTAAGAATGCACAACCTGAACCTAATCATGAGTAAACATCAGACAACCCACGATGAGGAAGGAACACTAACTGACCTGTCACTTCAAATATGTCAAGGTCATGAAAAACAAAGTGTGCAGAATCTAGTCCAGTTTAAAGAAGGTTAAAGATGACTTGACAACTGCATGTAATACACAATCTGGAATTTTCTTTTACTCTAATGGACACTAGTGGGACAATTGAGCAAAATTTGAATGATAGAACAAAGAGAGCAAACATTTTAAAGAGAATTTGGTGGTGCTTCTGTCTGTGATCTGTGTTGGTTTTTAGTCAGCTTTGACTTCTGCTTCCAAAATTTTTTTATATTTTTAAAATATAAAAGAATATAAAACCGTTTGCTCCAGTATTTGTTTGCTCTCTTTACTCTATTATATCTATAGCACTTGTGGAAAGGAAATAGCCATACTGAGAGACAAATTGTATTTGTTTCTTCAAAAAAAGAAAAACAAGTAGATGGTTTATTCTAAGAATCTCCAGGAACTTATACTCTAAACGTCCATAAATACATATTCTAGAGACTCTTATCATCCAGAACCCCACTGCAGCTTCTCTTTAATCTTTTTAAACATCCTGTTATATAAATTGCAGCTGCATCTATAGCAGGAAGAATAAGACATAATTGGTCAAACATCAAAAGCACTTGGGTGGGTCTTACACAGACCTTTAGTTTTCTTTCTTACCAACGTCATGTGCTTAGATTTTTTCTTTCAACCATATTAATGTATTTTTTGCTTGTTTCTTCTTTTTCCTTCCTCCTAACTAATTACTATGAATTTTGGCCAGGTCAGGAATTTTTCCCAGAAAGAGACCCCTAAGTAATAAAAAGCAGACAAACAGTACCTGAAGATAAAATGTAAATTCTTTTCAGTCCCCCCACCCCATCCCTTTGACTTCTTTGTCCTTACTGAATGGGATTCATTGGTTTGCACGTCCTCAGCTTTGTAGAAGCTCAGGTCTTTCACCTGAGCTATGCTAGGAATTTCCTACTGACTTTCCTGGGATGGTCCTCATCACCCGGGAATATGTATTCTATAATGTGATATTACATATATAACGGCAGCATTAAGTCAAATTTTGGAGGGGCCTCCCTGGTGGCACAGGGATTAAAGACGGGACTATCAAGCTATCGCCAGCCACTGCAACATGAGTTTGATCCCTGCCAGGGAGCAACCCACATGGCTCAGCAGACCTCTACTGCCTTGCCAGATGCTCCCCTCAGCAGTGTATTTCAGTAGATCTGCCTGTTCTGCTCCCCACTCTGTCTCTGGTGAATCCTCTCACCTCCCACCTCTGGCTTACACCCCAGTTCTTGTATGCATAAATAAACAAATCTTTTAAAAGAAAAGTTTTGGAAGTCATTTAGCTTATCTTTGCTTCCAATGCAGACATTTCTCCCTTAACTTTTTTGACAAATGGTCTCCAGCCAGGACTCAGTTATTTGTTATAACAAGGGACTCCCTGTAGTGTAGGGCAACCCCTCCATTGCTGGACAGCTCTCATTGTAACCCTTGTTTCTTGCTGTGGTTCTTTGGAGTCTCAGAGAACAATAACCCTTCACACATGTGGTGATTGCTAATTTGTTCTATAAAGCTACTGAGAAGGTCTCAGAATGATTTTTCAGATCCCATTAAATAAATGCATAAAACATCCAAAGTTAAAAATAGTTAATTCTGGAAGGTCAGTTCATACTCATGTTTCTATTTTCTCGCTTGTACGAGAAAATTCTAATTTTCACAGTCAATATTTATAGGGCAGTACAGTGTTTCTTCTAGATGCCAGTTCCTGGCATGCATATAAATATCCCACAGTAACTCTGAAAGATAGGAGTTTTAACTATGGCATAGAGGGATTAAGTAATTTGCTTGAGGTCATCCAGCTAAATAAGTGGCTAAAAAGAAATTGAACCCAGATTTGCCTAATTCTTAACCATTTCTCTTATAATAAGAAAAACTACTTGTTTTGGTGATGGGAGGATTTTTAGTGTGTGTTCAGATATTGATGCAATATGCTAGATTTTTGGTGGTGAGTGTTGTATGTAAGACACTCCTGAAGAGGTAGGATCTATTTCTGAATCATACACAATGTAAAGCAATGTTACCTTAATGAAAAGAAATTGCAGAAAAATCCAATGTGCGGTCTCCCTGGTGCCTAGGGGTTAAGTCTTAACGCTATCATCACTACGGCCTGACTAGGGCCTGAGTTCCATTCCTGGCCAGGGAGCTGACCCACATGTGGTGCAGCAGACCTCTCGTCTCACCCACTGCTCCCCTTAGCAGTGTATTTCAGTAAATTCCTTGTTCTGTTCCTCACTCTGTCACTGGTGAATTCTCTCACCCCCTGCACCTCTGGCCTACACCCCAGTTCTTCTACACAAAAATAAAAAAATGAATGTTTCATTCTTTAAAAAAAAAATCCAATATGCTAGATTTGACCTGAACAGCATAAAGAGCACTGTGATTATCACATGTTTTGTTGGTCACAGTACAATCTCTTAATGTCCCAAAGATGACATCTGATTTTTCACCTGTGATAATGAGATTATTGGTTCATGCAGAGATTTAAAAAAAATCCCTTGGTTCTTATTTTCTTTTTCTTTTTTCCTTTGAATCCCTCTTACCCCTTCTCCATCACCCCACCAACTCTTACCCCTCCTGTAACCATTTTATCAATCCAGTTGTTACTATTTTCCCCACGCTCATATAATCACATGTAGACAAATACAAATGCATTCAATACAGATTTTTTTTGTCATTTAGAAAGTGACCACATTTTTGCTTGTTTCTTTTACTAAAACACTTCCTTGTGTAAAAGCCCTCCAAATAAACTAGTGGAGTACAAATTTATTTCTTTTAATGGATGGACCAAAATGTAGCTGCCCTGTAACTTTTACACCACTCCCCTATTGATAGGTAATGCATTGCAATAAGGATTTGTATGTGTTGCCACTTAAAACACTGCTCCAGGGCCTTCTCGGTGGTGCAAGGGGCTAAGACACAACCTATGAAGCTATCTGCAGCCACTGCAGCACGAGTTCAATGCCCTGCCAGGGAGCTACCACATGGCACAGCAGACCTCTCCTGATTCACCCACTGCTCCTCTCAGCAGTGTATTTCAGTGGATCTGCCTGTTCTGTTCCCCACTCTGTCTCTGGTGAATCCTCTAACCCCCCCACCTCTGGCCTGTACCCCAGTTCTTGTATATATAAATAAATAAGTCTTTAAAAAAAAACTGCTCCAGTAAATATCCTTGCACATATATACTATGATGTTTTTAATGCAATGATTTTATTTCAGTGGGATAGATTCCCAGAGCTGAGATTGCTAGGTCAAAGGTTATATGTATTTTTAAAAGAATAACTACTGCCAACTGTTGCTTTCCAAAAAGGTTGTTACCCTTTTTATTTCCATAGCTACACATGAAAATACCCGTTACCCCACATCCCTCCAACAAAACGTAATACAGGGTCCTCCCTGGTGGCACAAGGGTTAAGATGCAACCTATGAAGCTATCTGCAGCCACTGCAATGTGAGTTCGATGCCTGGCCAGGGAGGTGACCCACATGGCACAGCAGACCTCTCCTGACTTGCCCGCTGCTCCCTTCAGCAGTATATTTCAGTAGATCTGCCTGTTCTGTTTCCCACTCTGTCTCTGGTGAATCCTCTCACCCTCCCGCACCTCTGGCCTGTACCCCAGTTCTTGTATGCATAAATAAATAAATATTTTTTTAAAAAAAGGTAATACAGCCTATTCAGCAGCCATTCTAATAAAACTTTTGTGAAACTACTTAATGTAATAAAGTTAATTTACTGCAAATCAACAGCAATTATAATTCTAATTAGCAAAATATTAAAACTCTTTCAGTCCAAATCAGCAACTACACATTGAGCTTTTAATTTAGTATACCTCCCAAGTCTTTAATCTTAAAATTAATGTGTAATGAATATGTGCATATAACAATATGCATACATGCACAGATCAATGAATTATTACAAAATAAATACATCCCTATAACCACCACCCAAGTCAATAGACATTACCAGCACCTCGATATTCTTTCTCACGCTCCTCCCAATCACTGTCCCCTTGAGAACCATGGTTAATGACTCTTAATTTTACTTGGGGTTTTGAAATATATAGAGATAGAATGATGCAGCTTATACTTTTGTGTATGTCTGTTTTATTTCCCTGACAATTATCTTTGTGAAGTTTCTCCATGTGGGTAGCAGTAGTTCACTCATTTTTACTGATGTTCATTGTATGAATAATATACACAATTAATTATTCTATTTTTAATAAACTTTCAGGCCCTTTGGAATCTGAAACCTGTTATCCAATATATTAGCCACCAATACTCCCAGTCTTATGTCATTAGAAATTTGATCACACCTTCTCTGTCTATGCAAGCCATTGACTTTGCCAGGACCAGACAGATTTGGGCCAGTCAACTAGAAGTCTTTCTTCAGGGCCTCCCTGGTGGTGCAAGGGGTTAAGACACAACCTATGAAGCTGTCTGCAGCCACTGCAGCATGAGTTCGATCCCCGGCCAGGGAGCAACCCACATGGCACAGCAGACCTCTCCTGATTCACTCGCTGCCCCCCTCAGCAGTGTACTTCAGCAGATCTACCTTTTCTGTTTCCCACTGTCTCTGGTGAATCCTCTCACCTCCCACACCTCTGGCCTGTACCCCAGCTTTTGTATGCATACGTAAATAAATCTTTAAAAAAAAAAGGAAGTCTCCCTTCAAGTTAACCTTAATACCCCAATTATTATTGAGAAACTTGTTCAATTTACTAAAACTATAGCTATCTGCAGTATCATTTAACATACCTTCCGCACCTTATCTGATTCAAATTAGTAAATATTTCTTGAAAGTCTACTACATTTCAGATGCTGACAGGGGCTGGAGCAGTGAACAAAAGAGCAGAGCCTGGGCCTCCCCGGTGGCGGTGGCGCAGCGGTTGAGCGCTGGGTTGCGAAGCTGCCCGCAGCCTCTGCAGCGCGGTTCGATCCCCGACTGCTCCCCGGCCACCAGAGGAGGGTCTCACATGGCGCGCAGACTTCTCTTGCCGCCCGCTGCTCCCCGCTCTGGCTCTGGTGAATTCTCTCACCCTCCCGCGCTTCTGACTGTACCCAGTGCTTGTATAAATTAATTAATTAATTAATTAATTAATCTTTAAAAAAAAAAGAGCAGAACCACACACTCGTGGAATTTACATTCTGTTTGATGAGGCAGATGTAAATGAAAATATCATTAACTTGATAATTTTATTTAAGTGTGTGATGAAAGTGAAACAGGGCAATATGATAAGAAGGGAGGTGGACAGCTTTAGAAGGTTCTAGCCACTTAAGAACGGGAATATATCATTCCAGACAAGGGAGCAGCAGCCCTGAGAGCCTGGAGGAGGGGATGAGCATCAAGTTTGGTGGACCTGGAGTGAACTGTAAACAAGCAGCAGAGGAGAGGTAGGCATGAGCCAGATCATTTAGGATCTTTCTCTTTTTTTTAATTTTAATTTATTTGTGTGTAGAAGAACTGGGGTGTAGGCCAGAGGAGGGGGCAGTGAGAGGATTCACCAGAGACAGAGTGGGGAACAGAGCAGGCTGATGTGCTGAAATACACTGCTGAGGGGAGCAGTAGGGAGACAGGAGAGGTCTGCTGAGCCATATGTGGATCAGCTCCCTGGCTGGTGTTCGAACTCAGGCCATCATGGGCTGTTGTGATGATAGCACTGAGACTTAACCCCTCGGCTACCAGGGAGACCCCCCCTCTTTAGGATCTTGAAGTCCTTTTGTTCTGGTTGTAATGGTGGAAGGGGAAGGAGATGCTGCAAGGACTTGCCACCCAGACATGAAAAGTGTGTCAGCAAACAGCCTTGAGCTGACAGGCTTCTGCAGGGTCTACCTCAGTAGCAGAGAGCCTCTGCTACCTGGGGACTTGTGCTTCCTGGGCAGACATCTGTGACTGGGGGAGGACAGGGCACTAAAGCCTCAGCCATTGTGATCTGGCCCTAGACAATTCTGATTTACAATGTTTGCGTCAAAGCTCCTGATGGCTTGGTCAAGGCTTTGTTGAGTTTGAATCACTGATTTCTTCCTCTGCCCACTCCTGCTTCCTCCCCATTCCTTTCACAGGTATTAAACCATAACATCTTGAATCCCAAACTAGTTCTTCACATCTCTGGAGAACTCAACTTGTAACAAATGGGAAGCCATTGAATGATTTCAAGCAACGAATCAGGTGGTCTGATTTAGTTTTCAGAGCACTCCAGCTACTGAACAGAGAATGGACTGTGGGAGGTACAGTGAGAACAGTGATGTGAGGGGAAGGTGACCTCACCTGAGAGGAGAAAGAAATTAAGCAGACGTAGATGCACTTTGGGTTTAATTTGTTTATAGAATTCATAACTGTCGTTCATCCCAAGCATTTTAATCAGTTGTTTTGCTGAAAACTAATTCAGCATGCCTTTCTATGCTTTTCATCTTCCTGTCCGGCATTCACTTCAAGAAAAGGAAAGAGCATTAGTTTGGGCCTGGGTGATACAGCCCCTAGTTACCTGGAGAGTCTCATCCTCACACACTCTCTTCTGTTTGCCATTCCAGCTCCTTCAGCTCTTTCCTGTCCCTTGGTGTGGCAAGTTTACTGCTGCCTCACACTTTTTCCACATGGGGTTTTTCCCACAGTGCCTTCAGCATTCCCCACACCTTGCTTACTGACATTCTGTTTATCCTTCAAGGCTCACCTTACATGGAGCTTCCTCACAGAGGATGGCTTCAGTGCTCTCCCTTCCTCCAATGAGGCTAATACCTCTAATTAAGTGCTCACAAAAAATCCTGTGTTTTCTTTCATAGCATTTATCACAAGTTATAATTATAATTGTTTATATTTTTTGTCTTCCTCAGTAGAGTTCCACAAGCTGCAGGAACATACCTGTTTTGTTTTCTGCTTCATGCCTGGTGCCTTGTTCAGTACCTGAGAGAGACCCAGTGGGTGCTCAGCAAGTATTCACTGAATAAATGGTGGGTTGTACTCATATTGACACCCAAGATCAAAACATTTTATTAATTATTTTATTTTATTTATTTATGATGTAAGAGCTGGGATGTAGGCCAGAGGAGGGGCCGGTAAGAGGATTCACCAGAGACAGAGTGGGGAACAGAACACGATGATCTGCTGAAATACACTGCCGAGGGGAGCAGCAGGTGAGACAGGAGAGATCTGATGCGCCATGTCAGCTCTCTGACTGGGGATCAAACTCATGCCGCAGTGGCTGGCCATAGCTTCATAGTGCTGCATCTTAACCCCTTGCACCACCAGGGAGGCCACTTTAATTATTATTTAAACTATATGTAATGTTTAATGTATATTTAGTTATCATTTCTCAAATTATCATACATCTTGTGAATTTAAGTAGAATGAAATAAAATCTAACCTTCAAATACTTTCCAAATGCAATAAGCTTTCTTTAGAATGTTAATTTCTGGACCTCCCTGGTGATGCAGGGGTGAAACAACACACTATGAAGCAATCCGCAGCCTCTGCAGCACAAGTTTGATCCCTGACCAGTCAGGGAGCAACCCACATGTCGCAGCAGACCTCTCCTTCTCATCTGCTGCTCCCCTCATCAGTGTTTTCAGTCCCTTTGCCTGTTCTGTTCCTCACTCCGTCTCTGGTGAATCCTCTCACCCCCTGCATATCTGGCCTGTACCTCAGCTCTTGTATGCATAAATAAATAAATCTTTAAAAAAATAGAATGTTAATTTCTCATTAATAACTTCACGTTATATGTGTAATCATTTAAAATTTTATTCATTTATTCAAAAATGTTGTGCACAAACATGACTATTTTAAATGTTAATTTTTTTAATTTAATACATTCATATGGTAAGCAAATCCATCAATTCAGAAAAGTTTAAGTATAAAAATAAAATCCTTTTTCCTATCAGCTATTCCTATTTTCTAGAGTCTAGAAGCAACCACCATTGACAGCGTCTTATGTGTTCTTCCAGAAAAGTTGCATGTACACCCCGGCATGATAAACACCTAAAAATACATAAATGGGTGTTGTATTTTACATACCGTTCTCTTCTCATTTTGTAATTACCTGGGAGATTTGTCTCATACCTATAAATTTATTTTATTGTTTTTAAATGTTGCATAACATTCTGCAGGATGAATTATAATGTATAGAGCTTGTGCCATATAAGCAGAACTTTTTAAAAAATGTTTTAGCTTTTTTGGAGGGGTGATATGATGATGACATTTCCTGTCTTGTATTAGAACTGTGTTGTTATACTCTCTCTGCAATTGATTCTCTTAATTAAAAACAAAAAGAAACAAAACCAGCCCTTAGGGTGTGATTTGCAACAACAAATTCAACAGGGAACTCAGAATCAGTAAGTGGTTTCTGAATTCACCTATTGGGGAATAGATGATGGTCCCTGATTGCATTTGCAGTAGAGACCAAAATTAAATTATCTGAAGGTAACTGCAAGTGCGGATCATTCATTAGAAGAGTTTGCCAAAAACAGCTGGAAACAGGACAGAACCTCTATGGAGGAGCAGAGCTGGGCAGAGGCTCAGTCCTGAGCTGGAAAGGCACAGCCAACACAGATATGAACTCTGCCTCCTAACCTGTTTCAATTCTTTTTTTTTTTAATTTATTTATTTATGCATACAAGAACTGGGGTACAGGTCAGAGATGCTGGGGGTGTGTGTGTGTGAGAGGATTCACCAGAGACAGAGTGGGGAACATAACAGGCAGATTGACTGAAATACACTGCTGAGGGGAGCAGCGGGAGAGGTCTGCTATGCCACATAAGTGCCTCCCTGGCTGGGGATCGAACTGTGCTTCGGTGGCTGCACCACCAGGAAGGCCCCTGTTTCAATTCTTAAAGAAAATTTGATTAATAGTGGAGAAGTGTCACCTCCTAAAAGAGTGTCTTCGTTGTTTTCTTTCCATTGTTTTCCTTGGTCAACAGTGAGCAAAGCTTAAGGATCTCGGTTCAACTGTGCCCTTGAGAGGTCAATGTGATCCAGTATTGGGAAGGCGAGGAAGACACTTGTTAGTAAACTCCTCACATTTCACCTATAAACAAAATCTAGTTTGTGTCAAGCTGATTCTTCTAGAAATGTATGGTTGTGGGGAAATTCATCACGTTCAAAAGCCTTACATTATCTTTTGTCTCAGTAGCTGACTTGGGGTGCAGACTAAGGAAGACCCAGAAACTTGGGGCCATGTGAGCCATGGCCAAAGTGGTACAGGCAACACCAGAAGCCCGCAGAGGTGGGGTCAGGTTGGTGGAGTGCATTCCAGAGTCATCTTTGACACGGTTACCCATGTGTCTGGAACAGTTGTATGAAGCATCACCACTTAAAAAGGAGTCAGAGCTTCTGTCCAGTGTCAGCCTCAGTAAACTGCGCTTTGGTCAGGGAGCAGATACGGTGCATGTTGCCAAAAGCAAGCCTGGAGCTGCTCCTAGTCCTGAGGTGGTAAAATTGGGCCCCTGCAAAGTTCTGGAGGAGGGAGAGCTCCCAAAGCGATCTGGCCTCCTGTAGGCCAAATTCTTTAGTAAAAGAGCTGAGGTGCTGTGTCTTGGTGCTTGAAGCCAGATGACATAAGGTTCATTAAATGCTAGACATGTCTTTCAAAAAATAAATCCTGAAATCATATTTGCTTTAGTGTGGATCCCTCAGGGCTTCTGCACATGGGTGTATGATTGAGGAAGGGAGTGGAGAGAACAAAATATAATAGCTGAGAAAATAATGATTAGGTTGATGGACAGAAACGCCTTGAGGCAACATACCTGAATTTTACCATTACCCTTTTCGTGTGTGGTTCTGGAAGCAATGTCCCATCTTTGTTTAGTATAAGGGGGAGCTTTTTCCTGGTAGGTCACTGGGAAGGTGGTACCAGGTTGGCAGAGGATTTGAACAAAGCGTTGGCTCTCACGACACTTCTCAAATCACATCACGTACACAGAGTGATTTGATTTCTCTTCTAATGCCTAGAACCCTCTCTGCGGATGCTGAAAAAGAGTCTCTGGATGCTCCACCGTGGTCAGGCTGGTTGATGGTCAGATGAGGAAGGAGAGTCACTTTTCAAGTTTCATCTTTTATATCTTTTGAATTGGTTTTAAGAAAATGTATCATTTTATTTAAAAAAAAAGTTGTTTTTCTAAAGACTTAACTAAGTTGTTTTTCTAAAGACTTGATTAAGGCTGAGAAAAGAAAAGTAAGATTTTTGTTCTCTGGTCAGCATAGCCTCCTGGATTTACTTCATTTCATCCCCTACTTGTTTGCTGGATTTGTGATTTCATAGTGTGCTATTTTAGCTTAGGAGCCTCTCCCTGCAACCACACACTCAAAAAAAGTTAGCTCTACTATCCTGACAGGACGGCCTCCGTGGGCCACCTCATTTTCTTCCATCCTACTTTCTGTTTTCCGTGGGCAAACAAGACATATTGTTACAAGGAGACCATCGGCCTTAAGCTGGAGATCAGAATCACAGTCAGATGCCAGCCCTGCTACTTATTAGCTACGTGACCTTTTGCAGGGCACATAAAATGCTCTGGGATTTGGTTGCCTCCTGTGGGACCCGGGAAGGTGCATTCACTAGATCAGGGGTTAAAGAGCGTGGTTCAACTCCTGTTTCTGCCACATGCTGTGTGACCCTGGTCACACTGCTTGGCTGTGCACTTCAGTTTCTACCTGGGGGTGGGAGGATGCAAGATAATTCTTCCTTCCAGGGGAGTTGGGAAAATGAGAGAAGAGACATAAACTGCCTGTGTCCAGGACACACAGGCTCTAAAGCCCCATTAGTGTCTTCCTTTCCTGTATCTTCTTCCCATTTTTTGTTTAGTTTTAACTTTATAAAATGGGAATGCAAACTTTGTAAGACCTGCCTGCTAAGCAGATCCCCTTCCTCTCACAGTGCTTTATAAACTGTAAAGCAGAAAACAGACTGTGCTTGTTTTGGTACCAGGAGGATGTGGGCTCCCAAGCTGTGAATTTCTCTGACCTCTTAATTGTGCTTGAATTCCAGAGGAGAGCTCTGTTTTGTTAGGTGGAAATTAGGTCAGCCTTTCCAGGAGCTCACCCCAGGATACAAGCTGAGGCTGACGGCACCCCTCCAAAAGACCCCACGGAGCCACCTAGGGAACATGGGGTGGCTATTTTTCCTGGGAACCACCTGGATGCTGCTCACTCCCTCACAGGAGAGAGGCTGCTCAGGCTTTTGAAATACTTTATTGAAAACCTATTCACACTTAAACGGAAGCCAAACTGTGAGGGATGCTGCTCCACCTCCTGCTGCCTCTGCTACTGCTGCTAGTTATAATAATAATAGTAATAATAATAATAATAATCGACCACACCCGCTGTTCACTATGCATGCTATGCTCTGGGATTAGATCAGAATTCCTTCAACCCAGTACTTAATTTGGTTTTTAAAACTTTTATTGCATTTCTATCTTCTCTGAAGTTCTACTTCTACAGACACATCCAGGTTTAAAATAAAAATTCTTAGACACATAAAGAGAAGACAGAAAAATGAAAAATTAGCCATTTTAATCATTTTAATTAAAGGGAGAGAGACGTGGAAGTTTATTTATTCTTTTAAAGATTTATTTGTTTATGCATACAAGACTGGGGTACAGGCCAGAGGCTTGGGGGATGAGAGGATCCACCAGAGACAGAGTGGGGAACAGAACAGGCAGACTGACTGAAATACACTGCTGAGGGGAGCAGCGGGTAAGAAAGGAGTGGTCTGCTGCGCCATGTGGGTAGCTCTCTGGCCGGGGATCAAACTCGTGCTGCAGAGGCTGTGGACAGCTTCATAGATTGCGTCTTAACCCCCTGCGCCACCAGGGAGGCCCACAATAATCATTTTGATGTGGATTCCAGGTGTGTCCAAATTATTACTCTCCCTAAGTTGTTGCCTTAAGAAAAAAGACTGGAGGGGCCTCCCAGGTGGCGCAATGAGTTAAGACACAAGCTATGAAGCTGCCCACAGCC